TTGATTTAATATAATAATACACGATGAAACACACAAGTGCTGGGAAACAGATCATAAATAGATTGATCTAATATAATAATACACAATGAAACATACAAGTGCTGGGAAACAGATCATAAATAGATTGATCTAATATAATAATACACAATAAAACACAAGTGCTGGGAAACAGATCATAAATAGATTGATCTAATATAATAATACACAATGAAACATACAAGTACTGGGAAACTGATCATAAATAGATTGATCTAATATAATAATACACAATAAAACACAAGTGCTGGGAAACAGATCATAAATAGATTGATCTAATATAATAATACACAATGAAACACACAAGTACTGGGAAACAGATCATAAATAGATTGATCTAATATAATAATACACAATAAAACACAAGTGCTGGGAAACAGATCATAAATAGATTGATCTAATATAATAATACACAATGAAACATACAAGTACTGGGAAACAGATCATAAATAGATTGATCTAATATAATAATACACAATAAAACACAAGTGCTGGGAAACAGATCATAAATAGATTGATCTAATATAATAATACACAATGAAACACACAAGTGCTGGGAAACAGATCATAAATAGATTGATCTAATATAATAATACACAATGAAACACACAAGTGCTGGGAAACAGATCATAAATAGATTGATCTAATATAATAATACACAATAAAACACACACGTGCTGGGAAACAGATCATAAATAGATTGATCTAATATAATAATACACAATGAAACACACAAGTACTGGGAAACAGATCATAAATAGATTGATCTAATATAATAATACACAATAAAACACAAGTGCTGGGAAACAGATCATAAATAGATTGATCTAATATAATAATACACAATGAAACACACAAGTACTGGGAAACAGATCATAAATAGATTGATCTAATATAATAATACACAATAAAACACAAGTGCTGGGAAACAGATCATAAATAGATTGATCTAATATAATAATACACAATGAAACACACAAGTGCTGGGAAACAGATCATAAATAGATTGATCTAATATAATAATACACGATGAAACACACAAGTACTGGGAAACAGATCATAAATAGATTGATCTAATATAATAATACACAATAAAACACAAGTGCTGGGAAACAGATCATAAATAGATTGATCTAATATAATAATACACAATGAAACATACAAGTGCTGGGAAACAGATCATAAATAGATTGATCTAATGTAATAATACACAATGAAACACACAAGTACTGGGAAACAGATCATAAATAGATTGATCTAATATAATAATACACGATGAAACACACAAGTACTGGGAAACAGATCATAAATAGATTGATCTAATATAATAATACACAATGAAACACACAAGTGCTGGGAAACAGATCATAAATAGATTGATCTAATATAATAATACACAATGAAACACACAAGTACTGGGAAACAGATCATAAATAGATTGATCTAATATAATAATACACAATGAAACACACAAGTACTGGGAAACAGATCATAAATAGATTGATCTAATATAATAATACACAATGAAACACACAAGTGCTGGGAAACAGATCATAAATAGATTGATCTAATATAATAATACACAATAAAACACAAGTGCTGGGAAACAGATCATAAATAGATTGATCTAATATAATAATACACAATGAAACACACAAGTGCTGGGAAACAGATCATAAATAGATTGATCTAATATAATAATACACAATAAAACACAAGTACTGGGAAACAGATCATAAATAGATTGATCTAATATAATAATACACAATGAAACACACAAGTGCTGGGAAACAGATCATAAATAGATTGATCTAATATAATAACACACAATGAAACACACAAGTGCTGGGAAACAGATCATAAATAGATTGATCTAATATAATAATACACAATGAAACACACAAGTGCTGGGAAACAGATCATAAATAGATTGATCTAATATAATAATACACAATGAAACATACAAGTGCTGGGAAACAGATCATAAATAGATTGATCTAATATAATAATACACAATAAAACACAAGTGCTGGGAAACAGATCATAAATAGATTGATCTAATATAATAATACACAATGAAACACACAAGTGCTGGGAAACAGATCATAAATAGATTGATCTAATATAATAATACACAATGAAACACACAAGTACTGGGAAACAGATCATAAATAGATTGATCTAATATAATAATACACGATGAAACACACAAGTACTGGGAAACAGATCATAAATAGATTGATCTAATATAATAATACACAATGAAACACACAAGTGCTGGGAAACAGATCATAAATAGATTGATCTAATATAATAATACACAATAAAACACAAGTGCTGGGAAACAGATCATAAATAGATTGATCTAATATAATAATACACAATGAAACACACAAGTGCTGGGAAACAGATCATAAATAGATTGATCTAATATAATAATACACAATGAAACACACAAGTGCTGGGAAACAGATCATAAATAGATTGATCTAATATAATAATACACAATGAAACACACAAGTGCTGGGAAACAGATCATAAATAGATTGATCTAATATAATAACACACAATGAAACACACAAGTGCTGGGAAACAGATCATAAATAGATTGATCTAATATAATAATACACAATGAAACACACAAGTGCTGGGAAACAGATCATAAATAGATTGATCTAATATAATAATACACAATGAAACATACAAGTGCTGGGAAACAGATCATAAATAGATTGATCTAATATAATAATACACAATAAAACACACACGTGCTGGGAAACAGATCATAAATAGATTGATCTAATATAATAATACACAATAAAACACAAGTGCTGGGAAACAGATCATAAATAGATTGATCTAATATAATAATACACAATGAAACACACAAGTGCTGGGAAACAGATCATAAATAGATTGATCTAATATAATAATACACAATAAAACACAAGTGCTGGGAAACAGATCATAAATAGATTGATCTAATATAATAATACACAATGAAACACACAAGTACTGGGAAACAGATCATAAATAGATTGATCTAATATAATAACACACAATGAAACACACAAGTGCTGGGAAACAGATCATAAATAGATTGATCTAATATAATAATACACAATGAAACACACAAGTGCTGGGAAACAGATCATAAATAGATTGATCTAATATAATAATACACAATAAAACACAAGTGCTGGGAAACAGATCATAAATAGATTGATCTAATATAATAATACACAATGAAACACACAAGTGCTGGGAAACAGATCATAAATAGATTGATCTAATATAATAACACACAATGAAACACACAAGTGCTGGGAAACAGATCATAAATAGATTGATCTAATATAATAATACACAATGAAACACACAAGTGCTGGGAAACAGATCATAAATAGATTGATCTAATATAATAATACACAATGAAACACACAAGTACTGGGAAACAGATCATAAATATATTGATCTAATATAATAATACACAATGAAACACACAAGTACTGGGAAACAGATCATAAATAGATTGATCTAATATAATAATACATGATGAAACACACAAGTACTGGGAAACAGATCATAAATAGATTGATCTAATATAATAATACACAATGAAACACACAAGTGCTGGGAAACAGATCATAAATAGATTGATCTAATATAATAATACACAATGAAACACACAAGTGCTGGGAAACAGATCATAAATAGATTGATCTAATATAATAATACACAATGAAACATACAAGTGCTGGGAAACAGATCATAAATAGATTGATCTAATATAATAATACACGAAAGTCGACGGACATAAAGTGCACCGAAAATGTAAAGATATATTGGTCCTTCTGGAATGTCAGACAGAGTCTGCGTGGAAATGGTTATTCGATGGCGATGTATTTCATACGGACATCATGACAGTGTCCTGGGTCTGCAGTGTTACTTCTAATCTGTGATCTTTCCGATAAGGAAACACGTCATGTAGTGTCATACTTACATTAAGCTACGTTTAAGACCTACTTTCATTTGCTAGAGTAACGTTAGAAATAGTAGGGATACACTGACTGTGTGAACTGCCTCATGTATAATATAGTGCCAAATGTGCAGCCATGTTGGTTTCATAAGCACTCACACGTCGGAAAACTTAAAGTAACTTTGTGGAATGCTGTGGAACGAAAGGCGAACTTATTTGCATATTTATCGGATCGTGATAACAAGTGTATCGAATTCTTAATCGCATCCATATAACACCATATTACCTATGCAAAAAATAGAGGGTATTTTGTTTTGAGGTAAAATTACAGGAAAATACACCAATGTCTGGCGATGAAAGTCAGTGCTATACGTGGCAAGGACATTTCCGAAGAAATCAAGCTCCGAAACACAACACTGTTACAGTCATGAAGCACGTGACCTCGGGCAGCACGTGCAGGGGGTAGGTAGTATGACAGATTTAACATTGTCACTTAGACTCGGTTGTGAGCAGACGCATATTGGTGTTTAACCAAACACTCAATGCCACCTTTTAAACACAATTAATCATTAAGGAGGAAACAGCATGGATCTAGCGACGTCTGCAAGGTGCTGAACGTATACGTGACACAGGTCAGAATATTGTTGCCGAAAACACCTAATGTCGATGATCGACGCCGCTTTGGACGCCGGGCTGGGCGCCCTGGACCACTCCAGCCCAGGAACGATTGGTCGGAACGGTGGCATTAACAAATAGATTTAAAGTGCCACCCAGATAAGAGGCAGTCCGTTTTCAAAATGTTTTCTTGTGACTAGTGTGCTCCGAATGCATTACAAACAACTGTTTTACCATTTGTTGAAACAACGTTTGATATACTCTTTTTGATTGATGTGAAATAATCTGAGAATGCGTGATTACGACGCCACAGGTCACCTGGATGGAGTGCTGTATATGTCTGGGACTGACCAGGCTGTGTGCCGCGGTATCACGCTCCCCGTATAGTGTTGTATACGGCTGTGACCAGACTCGCCACGTCTGGGAGGACCATTGCTCCGAACACAACACACATGAGAGATATGGCCAGATAGCCCATGTTGGTGGAGGAAGACCGCTTGTCCTCAGCGCTCGTCTTCTTCTGGACAGACTTTCTTAAGGTCTTTGTCTCGACTTTCAGCTCCTTCTGTATCGCCTGGGCCGCTTCCATCACTTGCTTGGTGTCCGAGGGGCGGGACGGGTCCTTGCATCTGCACGTACACTTCTCCACTACCCTGCGCTTTGGGAAAGGGTTGTACGAAGTGGTCGTTTGTGTGGTCTTGTGTGTGGTTGCTGTTATAGATGACGGTGTCACCGTGGTGATAGTAGATGATGCAGGCGTCGATGTCTTACCAGTAGTAGGTGTTGTGTCGCTTGCAACCACGCCCACAGTTGTAGACGCTGTTGTTGGTCCTACGGCCGTTGTTATTTCTGCGGTGGCGGTTGTTGCACTTGATGTTGGTGTTACGGTCGTTGTTATTTCTGCGGTGGCGGTTGTTGCACTTGATGTTGGTGTAACGGTCGTTGTTATTTCTGCGGTGGCGGTTGTTGCACTTGATGTTGGTGTTACGGTAGTTGTTATTTCTGCGGTGGCGGTTGTTGCACTTGAGAATGGTGTTACGGCCGTTGTTATTTCTGCGGTGGCGGTTGTTGCACTTGATGTTGGTGTTATGGTCGTTGTTATTTCTGCGGTGGCGGTTGTTGCACTTGATGTTGGTGTTATGGTCGTTGTTATTTCTGCGGTGGCGGTTGTTGCACTTGATGTTGGTGTTACGGTCGTTGTTATTTCTGTGATGGCGGTTGTTGCACTTGAGGTTGGTGTTACGGTAGTTGTTATTTCTGCGGTGGCGGTTGTTGCACTTGAGAATGGTGTTACGGCCGTTGTTATTTCTGCGGTGGCGGTTGTTGCACTTGATGTTGGTGTTATGGTCATTGTTATTTCTGCGGTGGCGGTTGTTGCACTTGATGTTGGTGTTATGGTCGTTGTTATTTCTGCGGTGGCGGTTGTTGCACTTGATGTTGGTGTTACGGTCGTTGTTATTTCTGTGATGGCGGTTGTTGCACTTGAGGTTGGTGTTACGGTAGTTGTTATTTCTGCGGTGGCGGTTGTTGCACTTGAGAATGGTGTGACGGTCGTTGTTATTTCTGCGGTGGCGGTTGTTGCACTTGATGTTGGTGTTATGGTCGTTGTTATTTCTGCGGTGGCGGTTGTTGCACTTGATGTTGGTGTTACGGTCGTTGTTATTTCTGTGATGGCGGTTGTTGCACTTGAGGTTGGTGTTATGGTCGTTGTTATTTCTGCGGTGGCGGTTGTTGCACTTGAGAATGGTGTTACGGCCGTTGTTATTTCTGCGGTGGCGGTTGTTGCACTTGATGTTGGTGTTATGGTCGTTGTTATTTCTGCGGTGGCGGTTGTTGCACTTGATGTTGGTGTTATGGTCGTTGTTATTTCTGCGGTGGCGGTTGTTGCACTTGATGTTGGTGTTACGGTCGTTGTTATTTCTGCGGTGGCGGTTGTTGCACTTGATGTTGGTGTTACGGTCGTTGTTATTTCCGTGGTTGCTGTTGTCACTTCAATATATAGAAGAGGGAGACCTGTAGGCATGTTAATGACTATTTGCAACATTATAGTCTAAAGGCCACGTAACAAAGGTAATAAGGACGGTTTCTTTGTTCCTACACGAAGACATCCTCACTAAATGTGCATAACAAATTACTACAATAAGAAATAAAATGGTGTCAATCATTCCAAATGCCCCCCAAAATGACCACATTTGACAAAATGACACATGGACAAAGACAACGGGGCACATATGGCTGTCATGGCCGCCATGTTTTACAATACGATCAGAATTATGTGAGTAGTTTAGAAATTGCAAGGACTATACACAGATCATGTCTTCTTGTGTTCAGTTTGGGATGAGGTATTTAAATACATGTCCCTCTCACTATGGCTGCCGAGGCTGGGAACAAATGAACAAATACATTTCAGACATCATGTACAGAAAGAAGTCAGTCTGGATAAACGGGGGCATGGTGGTCTCAGCTGGGTAATATATGTCACAAATTCAGATCGAATTTCATAGAGCACTTTCAGACCAAACTGTTGAGACCAACCGTGCAGCGGCTCCGTTCATAACCTTTGTCGGGGGCACGGGTGGCCCAGTCGTCTAAGGCGCCGCGATTCGCTGTGCAGAGTTGCGTCCCTTGGCCACGCCAGAAACCTATGATTGTGGGTTCGAATCCCGGTTCGCCCCAATTATGTTTCTAGGTTTGTCAGCACCATACCCGTGCTCGTGGGTTTCACCGAAGTGGTAAACGTCTGAGACCTGCATCACTTCGGGCTTTCCTCCCACATTAAGCTGACATGCCGTGATGTAAATGGAATACTGTTAAAAGTGGCGTTAAATCCAACTCACTCACTCACTCACTCATAACCTTTGTCGTATCAGGGGTTCCGCAAAAAATATTCAAAGGTGAGAGACGGCCCAAGTTGGTCTATGTCTAGTTAAATATCATATCGCATGCTTGCACGCACTCAAGTATGCACACCCGCGCATTTACTCGCTATTTATCAAGCGACTTACCGTGAACAGGTAGGCCTCTTATGTCGACGTCGCACAGTTCAATAGGATGTAGATGTGAAGGCTGACGGACTTGTGAGATCCTGACGTAACGTCCCACTGTAGGCTCGTCACACCGTAGATCCCTCGTCGTTCCGTTTCCAAAGCGACCTAGATGATACAGACACAGGTCGTGTGCGTCGCTTGTCTCAGGGTCCACGGTGTGCACTGTCACACTGAAGTTTGCAAGTCTAAATCCTGAAACAACCACATGAAGCACTGATGGAGGAAGCGTTGTCAAACCATTAGATTATGTTGTTTCCGTGAGGTTGTTTCGTTAAATTATGTTCGTTCCCTAGGTTACGTTGTTTCGTGAGATTATGGTGTCTCCGTATTTTACGTTGTTTCCCCTCGGTTAGGTTGTTTCGTTATATTATCTTGTTTCCGTATGTTACGGTGTTAAAACCTAGGTTAAGTTGTTTCGTTAGATTTTATTGTTCACCCAAGGTTACATTAATTCATTAGATTATGTTGTTTCCCTAGGATACGTTGTTTCGTTAGGCTATGTTGTTTCCATAGATTACGTTGTTTCATTAGGTTATGTTGTTTCGTTAGACTGTATTGTTTCCATATGTTACGTTGTTTCCCCTAGGTTATGCTGTTTCATTAGATTTTGCTGTTTACCCAAGGTTACGTTGTTTCGTTGGATTATGTTATTTCATTAGATTATGTTGTTTCCTGAGGTTACGTTGCTTTTCGTTAGATTATGTTGTTTACCCAAGGTTACGATGTTTTGTTAGGCTATATTGTTTCCCTAGATTACGTTGTTTCGTTAGGTTATGTATGTTCCCTAGGTTATGTTGTTTCGTTAGACTGTATTGTTTCCATATGTTATGTTGTTTCCCTAGGTTACGTTGTTTTGTTAGATTATGTTGTTTACCATGTTACGTTTCTTCATTAGATTATGTTGTTTACCCAAGGTTAAGTTGTTTCTTAAGATAATGTTGTTTCCCAAGGTTACATTGTTTCGTTAGATTATATTGTTCCCCAGGTTACGTTGTTTCATTACATTATGTTGTTTCCCTTGGTTACGTTGTTTCATTACATTATATTGTTCTCCAGGTTACGTTGTTTCATTACATTATATTGTTTCCCTTGGTTACGTTGTTTCATTACATTATATTGTTCCGCAGGTTAGGTTGTTTCATTACATTATATTGTTCCGCAGGTTACGTTGTTTCATTACATTATGTTGTTTCCCTAGGTTATGTTGTTTCATTACATTATATTGTTCCGCAGGTTACGTTGTTTCATTACATTATGTTGTTTCCCTAGGTTACGTTGTTTCATTACATTATGTTGCTTCCCTTGTTTATGTTGTTTCATTAGATTATGTTGTTTACCCAGGTTATGTTGTTTCCTTAGATTATGTTCTTTAGCCATGTTGCGTTAGTTTGTTAGATTATGTTGTCACACCAAGTTCAATGTTTCATTAGATTACGTTGTTCCCTAGGTTATGTTTTCGTTAGATTGTGTTTCTTACCCATGTCAGGCTGCTTCATGAGATTGTGTTGTTTAGTTTACTCTTGTCACGTTTCGAAGTTAGATATGTTGTTTCCCTTGGTTACGCTGTTTCAATACATTATGTTGTTTCCCTTGGTTACGCTGTTTCATCAGATTGTGTTTTTTACCCATGTTACGTTGTTTTCTTTAGATAATGTTCTTTACCCCAAGGTTTTTCGATAGATTGTGTTACTATTTATACTCGCCATATCAGGTCTGTTTGAAGCTACCTGTATTCGCCATATCAGGTCTGTTAGAAGCTACTTATACTCGCCATATCAGGTGTGTTTGAAGCTACTTATACTCGCCATATCAGGTCTATTGAAGCTATCTGTACTCGACATATCAGGTCTGTTTGAAGCTACCTGTACTCGACATATCAGGTCTGTTTGAAGCTACCTGTACTCGACATATCAGGTCTATTGAAGCTACCTGTTCTGGCCATATCAGGTCTATTGAAGCTACTTGTACTCGCCATGTAGATCACTGAATTTCTATGCACTCACCACAACAATCCTTTCTGTTGGAAATCTGCACCGTGGTGATGTTGTACACGCCGCCCAAGTCCACCTGCCACCACGTTACCGTGGATGTCAGCGAAGGCCTTGTGTGGGAACACCCGCCTGCATTCATACGCTGATTCAGATTGTCATCCACGGCATTGGACGCCACATTGTTCCCAAGGGTGGTGTCTTGTTTGGCCTCCTTGTTACGGGCGACATTGGGAGCTGTGGGATCAGGTATATTTGTTAATGCAGTGTACACGTATATGTGTGGTGTATGATTTGGTGTGTGTGACCAGGTATAGTTGTGAATCTAGTGTACACGTATTTATGTGTCGTGTGTGATTGGGTGTGTGTGATCAGGTATAGTTATGAATGTAGTGTACACGTATATGTGTGGTGTGTGATTAGGGGCGTGGGATCAGGTATAGTTGTGAATGTAGTGTACACGTATATGTGTGGTGTGTGATTGGGGTGTTGGGTCAGGTATAGTTGTGAATGTAGTGTACACGTATATGTGTGGTGTGTGATTGGGGGTGTGATCAGGTATAGTTGTGAATGTAGTGTACACGTATGTGTGTGGTGTGTGATTGGGGTGTTGGGTCAGGTATAGTTGTGAATGTAGTGTACACGTATATGTGTGGTGTGTGATTGGGGGTGTGATCAGGTATAGTTGTGAATGTAGTGTACACGTATATGCGTGGTGTGTGATTGGGTGTGTGATCAGGTATAGTTGTGAATGTAGTGTACACGTATATGCGTGGTGTGTGATTGGGTGTGTGATCAGGTATAGTTCTGAATGTAGTGTACACGTATATGCGTGGTGTGTGATTGGGTGTGTGATCAGGTATAGTTGTGAATGTAGTGTACACGTATATGCGTGGTGTGTGATTGGGGGTTTGTGACCAAGTATAGTTGTGAATGTAATGTACACGTATATGAGTGGTGTGTGGTTGGGTGTGTGTGATCAGGTATAGTTGTGAATGTACTGTACACGTATATGTGTGGTGTGTGATTGGGGGTGTGTGATCAGGTATAGTTATGAATGTAGTGTACACGTATATGTGTGGTGTGTGATTGGGGGTGTGTGATCAGGTATAGTTATGAATGTAGTATACACGTATATGTGTGGTGTGTGATAGGGGGCGTGTGATCAGGTATAGTTATGAATGTAGTGTACACGTATATGTGTGGTGTGTGATTGTGGGCGAGTGATCAGGTATAGTTATGAATCTAGTGTACACGTATGTGTGTGGTGTGTGATTGGGGTGTTGGGTCAGGTATAGTTGTGAATGTAGTGTACACGTATATGTGTGGTGTGTGATTGGGGGTGTGATCAGGTATAGTTGTGAATGTAGTGTACACGTATGTGTGTGGTGTGTGATTGGGGTGTTGGGTCAGGTATAGTTGTGAATGTAGTGTACACGTATATGTGTGGTGTGTGATTGGGTGTGTGATCAGGTATAGTTGTGAATGTAGTGTACACGTATATGCGTGGTGTGTGATTGGGTGTGTGATCAGGTATAGTTGTGAATGTAGTGTACACGTATATGCGTGGTGTGTGATTGGGTGTGTGATCAGGTATAGTTCTGAATGTAGTGTACACGTATATGCGTGGTGTGTGATTGGGTGTGTGATCAGGTATAGTTGTGAATGTAGTGTACACGTATATGCGTGGTGTGTGATTGGGGGTTTGTGACCAGGTATAGTTGTGAATGTAATGTACACGTATATGAGTGGTGTGTGGTTGGGTGTGTGTGATCAGGTATAGTTGTGAATGTACTGTACACGTATATGTGTGGTGTGTGATTGGGGGTGTGTGATCAGGTATAGTTATGAATGTAGTGTACACGTATATGTGTGGTGTGTGATTGGGGGTGTGTGATCAGGTATAGTTATGAATGTAGTATACACGTATATGTGTGGTGTGTGATAGGGGGCGTGTGATCAGGTATAGTTATGAATGTAGTGTACACGTATATGTGTGGTGTGTGATTGTGGGCGAGTGATCAGGTATAGTTATGAATCTAGTGTACACGTATGTGTGTGGTGTGTGGTTGGGTGTGTGTGATAAGGTATAGTTCTGAATGCAGTGTACACGTATATGTGTGGTGTGTGATTGGGGGTGTTGGATCAGATATAGTTATGAATGTAGTGTGCACATATATGTGTGGTGTGTGATTGGGTGTGTGTGATCAGGTATAGCTATGAATGTTGTGTACACGTATATGTGTGGTGTGTGATTGGGTGTGTGATCAGGTATAGTGGAGAATGTAGTGTTCACGTATATGTGTGGTGTGTGATTGGGTGTGTGATCAGGTATAGTTGTGAATGTACTGTACACGTATATGTGTGGTGTGTGATTGGGGGTGTGATCAGGTATAGTTATGAATGTAGTGTACACGTATATGTGTGGTTTGTGATTGGGGGTTTGTGATCAGGTATAGTTGTGAATGTACTGTACACGTATATGTGTGGTGTGTGAATGGATGTGTGTGATCAGGTATAGTTGTGAATGTACTGTACACGTATATGTGTGGTGTGTGATTGGATGTGTGTGATCAGGTATAGTTGTGAATGTAGTATACACGTATATGTGTGGTGTGTGATTGGGTGTGTGTGATCTGGTATAGTTATGAATGTAGTGTACACGTATATGTTTGGTGTGTGATTGGGGGTTTGTGATCAGGTATAGTTATGAATGTACTGTACACGTAAATGTGTGGTGTGTGATTGGGGGCGTGGGATCAGGTATAGTTGTGAATGTAGTGTACACGTATCTGTGTGGTGTGTGATTGGGGGTGTTGGATCAGGTATAGTTGTGAATGCAGTGTACACGTATATGTGTGGTGTGTGATTGGGGGTGTTGGATCAGGTATAGTTGTGAATGTAGTCTACACGTATATGTGTGGTGTGTGATTGGGTGTGTGTGATCTGGTATAGTTATGAATGTAGTGTACACGTATATGTGTGGTGTGTGATTGGGGGTTTGTGATCAGGTATAGTTGTGAATGTACTGTACACGTATATGTGTGGTGTGTGATTGGATGTGTGTGATCAGGTATAGTTGTGAATGTAGTGTACACGTATATGTGTGGTGTGTGATTGGATGTGTGTGATCAGGTATAGTTGTGAATGTAGTATACACGTATATGTGTGGTGTGTGATTGGGTGTGTGTGATCTGGTATAGTTATGAATGTAGTGTACACGTATATGTGTGGTGTGTGATTGGGGGTTTGTGATCAGGTATAGTTGTGAATGTACTGTACACGTATATGTGTGGTGTGTGATTGGATGTGTGTGATCAGGTATAGTTGTGAATGTAGTGTACACGTATATGTGTGGTGTGTGATTGGATGTGTGTGATCAGGTATAGTTGTGAATGTAGTATACACGTATATGTGTGGTGTGTGATTGGGTGTGTGTGATCTGGTATAGTTATGAATGTAGTGTACACGTATATGTGTGGTGTGTGATAGGGGGCGTGGGATCAGGTATAGTTGTGAATGTAGTATACACGTATATGTGTGGTGTGTGATTGGGTGTGTGATCAGGTATAGTTGTGAATGTAGTGTACACGTATATGCGTGGTGTGTGATTGGGTGTGTGATCAGGTATAGTTGTGAATGTAGTGTACACGTATATGTGTGGTGTGTGATTGGGTGTGTGATCAGGTATAGTTCTGAATGTAGTGTACACGTATATGCGTGGTGTGTGATTGGGTGTGTGATCAGGTATAGTTGTGAATGTAGTGTACACGTATATGCGTGGTGTGTGATTGGGGGCGTGTGACCAGGTATAGTTGTGAATGTAGTGTACACGTATATGTGTGGTGTGTGATTGGGGGCGTGTGATCAGGTATAGTTATGAATGTAGTGTACACGTATATGTGTGGTGTGTGATTGTGGGCGAGTGATCAGGTATAGTTATGAATCTAGTGTACACGTATGTGTGTGGTGTGTGGTTGGGTGTGTGTGATAAGGTATAGTTCTGAATGCAGTGTACACGTATATGTGTGGTGTGTGATTGGGGGTGTTGGATCAGATATAGTTGTGAATGTAGTGTGCACATATATGTGTGGTGTGTGATTGGGGGTTTGTAATCAGGTAAAGCTATGAATGTTGTGTACACATATATGTGTGGTGTGTGATTGGGTGTGTGATCAGGTATAGTTGAGAATGTAGTGTTCACGTATATGTGTGGTGTGTGAATGGGTGTGTGATCAGGTATAGTTGTGAATGTACTGTACACGTATATGTGTGGTGTGTGATTGGGGGTGTGTGATCAGGTATAGTTATGAATGTAGTGTACACGTATATGTGTGGTGTGTGATTGGGGGTTTGTGATCAGGTATAGTTGTGAATCTACTGTACACGTATATGTGTGGTGTGTGATTGGATGTGTGTGATCAGGTATAGTTGTGAATGTACTGTACACGTATATGTGTGGTGTGTGATTGGATGTGTGTGATCAGGTATAGTTGTGAATGTAGTATACACGTATATGTGTGGTGTGTGATTGGGTGTGTGTGATCTGGTATAGTTATGAATGTAGTGTACACGTATATGTGTGGTGTGTGATTGGGGGTTTGTGATCAGGTATAGTTGTGAATGTACTGTACACGTATATGTGTGGTGTGTGACTAGATGTGTGTGATCAGGTATAGTTGTGAATGTACTGTACACGTATATGTGTGGTGTGTGATTGGATGTGTGTGATCAGGTATAGTTGTGAATGTAGTATACACGTATATGTGTGGTGTGTGATTGGGTGTGTGTGATCTGGTATAGTTATGAATGTAGTGTACACGTATATGTGTGGTGTGTGATTGGGGATGTTGGATCAGGTATAGTTGTAAATTTGTACTGTACACGTATATGTGTGGTGTGTGATTGGATGTGTGTGATCAGGTATAGTTGTGAATGTACTGTACACGTATATGTGTGGTGTGTGATTGGATGTGTGTGATCAGGTATAGTTGTGAATGTAGTATACACGTATATGTGTGGTGTGTGATTGGGTGTGTGTGATCTGGTATAGTTATGAATGTAGTGTACACGTATATGTGTGGTGTGTGTTTGGGGGCGTGGGATCAGGTATAGTTGTGAATGTAGTGTACACGTATGTGTGTGGTGTGTGATTGGGGGTGTTGGATCAGGTATAGTTGTGAATGTAGTGTACACGTATATGTGTGGTGTGTGATTGGATGTGTGTGATCAGGTAT